ACCTGCTAATTAATATAAAAAACTTGCATTAAACCTATAATATAGTACATGAATAATGTAATTATAAAATATATTATATTAAAGTATTTAAAGTCAATAACAATAACATAAGTATAGCAATATATAATGTACTAATGTGACATCATTAGAACCAATACTAAATATTATAATAAACATATAATCTAATCATCTCCTAAGTTTTCATCATTTGAATTAGCTGAACGTTGAGGTTGAGTACTTGGAGTGGATAGCATGCCGTTGCGACGCAACTCATCCATCAAACTTGCAATTTGAGCTTGCATTTGAGTTCTTTCAGCTTGTAGTTTAGCTTCCATCTCAACTCGCATGGTCTCTAACTGCTGATTCACCATCTCCTTCATTGCCTCTTGTTGAAGTTGTGAAGTAGCAGATGATGAACTACAGTTATTCTCAGTGATAAATGCAGATGACTTAGTCTCTAAGCCATAAATACGCTGTTTTTTTTACCCCACCAACAACATCCACATACAGTTGTGACACGTTTATAACTGGTGGCTCATTTGACCCTTCCGCCTCTAGGATTGCAGCATCACGCCGTGCTTGTATTTCGTCCTACAATTAAAAATATATCCCAAATAAGAGAACTATATAAAGGCATATAAGAATTGTGTCTATTTACCAATATACGGTTATTAGGTTATACTTACATCGATTTTCTTTGACCTCTCATCAATGAATGTACCATCCTTCTTTTTGTGCGTATGCTCAAAGCACTCATACGGATTAGGGTCCTTTTGAAGCGTATCTCGCTATTAAACAAGCACAAACAATAATATGATACTTAAATCCGTAAAATATGTACAAATAGTGAAAATCCGTCGCTAATATCCTATTTAACAAGAAAACTAAATTCGGTCACTAAATAGTCGCTATTCCATCGTTAAATTAGCTACGGACTACGTCCGTCACTAGATCCATCGCTATTTCAGCGTTTTTTTGTAGTGATGGGTTTATCACTATTTTCTACTTTGCGATTCCTAAAATCGTTTATGATAGGAATATTTTTGTAATAAAGTTTTGATGAGCCAAATGTACTTTAGATCCCCTTAGAATTTAGGTCTTTAGTACAAGCATCATAATTCAGTATATCAAGTCAGTATGCAAAGGAAAGACTACCACATGAAGAACAAAATTAATTTGACGAATTAATTTTGGTCCTACGGGTATTCATCCAGAAGTCAAGCATTTAACAAAAGTGTTGCAAAGAATGACTGGATGAGCCTAACGGCGAAATGGTGGAAGTCTTTACACACAACGAGCACAATGTCAACAAGCAAGCAAAATGTGTCTTATTTTAGAAACAACTTGAAAAACAGGCTACAAGATTCAAATTTCAAATATCAAATTATCCCAACGGATGATATATTTGAGACTTGAAGATGAAAACAAGACACATAACACATAGAGGCGGATGAACAAGTGCGAATTAATATATTTGAGACTTGAAGATGAAAACACAACACATAGAGGCGGATGAACAAGTGCGAATTCAAGTGCTAAATATTCTTTTAAATATCTAGAAGAGAGACTTAGTCTGAATAGTCTCAAAAAATAGTTGGAGAGAGATACAATTACCTTTGTATTTGTAATTGTAAAAAGAGTATAGTTTTGTGCAAAATACTCTAGTGAGTACTGTAGTTGTGTGCAAAACACTCGTAGTTGCTAAATGTAGCTGTGTGCAAAACACTTAGTTGGCGTTTGAGTATAGCTGTGTGCGAAGTACTCGGGGTTGAGTGTAGCTGTGTGCAAGACTCTTGGAGTTAGGTGTAGCTGTGTGCAAGACATCCAAAGAAGTGCTTGTGTAGCGCTTATTCACTATTGTAATTGTGTGTGGAAAATAGTGAATTACTCCTAGAAGTGAATGGAGTAAAGTGGACTAGGAAGATTACGCCACTTCCGAACCACTATAAATTGCCATTCTCATTTACATACCACACTTACATAATTCGCTTTATTTATTTATCTATCTAGTATTTGACTAACCCGTTTACTATTCACTGTCAATATTAATCTTTCGCGTTTAGTTTGATTTCACGTATGGATGTAGCTCAAACTTTCTATGCTTAACATTTAAATTATTCTAAGCAAGTTTGACGTGTTGCATGTGACATTTATCGTACGGTTGATTTCGCACGAAGTCTCATACACAATCTTGAATAATATTGTTAAATATTGAGTGAATCATCTCCTTTAAATATTCAAGATATTCTTATTCATCCTTACACATCATCTGAGCATATCTAACATGTGCATGTGATTCAATTTATTGATTCGGCATAACTCTTTACACATATTTATTCTGCTGTGCACTCCAAATTAAATACTTCTCTATTTACTTGTTATTTAGAGTTGAAATTACCAAAGTGTTATTTACTGTGAAAATGTTTAAAAAGTCTATTCACCCCCCCCCCCCCTAGACTTTTTACCAGCCTATCGGGACCAACAATTGGTATCAGAGCGGTTGTCTATTTGAGTCAATTTTGACTGCTAGACAGATCTCAAAAAATCAAGATGATGAAAAGAGATATGACTCTTGCCCAAAATCTATTATTTTCTCTAGAAAAATTTGATGATTGGAAAATTCGTATGCAGGTACATTTATCCGCATTACATGATGAGATGTGGGAAGTCATCACCAGTGGTCCTATTGAAATTTTGAAAGTCAACACTTCGTCCGTACAAACAAGTGACGCTCCACAATACATTCCAAAACCGAAGGTGGAATGGTCTCGTGAAGATAGAACACGAAATAACTTGGACAATATTTCCAAGGATATTTTGTTCAAATCCATCGACGATACGATATTCTCAAAGGTTCGAAAATGCCAATCCGCAAAAGAAGTTTGGGAAACGCTCATTCAAATTGGTGAAGGAGACGAACAAGAAAAGGATAATAAGCTCACGGCCATGAGAGATAATAGAGATCTAAAAACCCTATCAATAGATAAGCTCTTTAGTGATCTAAAAGCTTATGAATTTGAAATGAAGTCAAGGATAGAGGAGGATCATGAAGAAAAGAACAACGCACTCATAGCCGAGCAACCGTCAACATCAAGGTCAGTACAAAATAATGAATTATTGCCTAATGATCAATTTGCTCTCTTTGTCAAGAAATTTAAGAAATTCATGAAGAGGAGCAACTACAAGAAAAATCCACAAGGAAAACCATGGAATGCAACAAAAAATTTGAAGAAAGAAATGGTTGAGGAAGACTCAAATTTGTGTTACAATTGTAGAAAGTATGGACACTTTGCAGCAAATTGTCCACACCCCAAGGTAAGTAAAAGTCAATACACAAATATTTTTGACCCTCAACAGGAAGAATTCAAGACCAAAGACAAAAGGTTCACAAAGGAGAGAAGAAAAGCATTTATTAGTGACACACTAGAAACAAGTGAGCTAGAGGAGTCTTCAAGTGATGAAAGTGACACCTCAAAAGATGACAATGCAATGTTTTGCATGAGTATCTCCAACAAGTCATCCTACGAAGACATGTGTCTTATGGCAAATGAAAATGAAGAAGATGAGGTAACATCTAAATCTTATGACTGTAAATTCTTCATTCTCTAGAGAGTCCATCTTTCACTTAATGAAAGATTGTCAAACCGTAATGGACACTCACTCTCAACTCAAAGAGCGCAATAATTTTCTAATTCTTGAAAAAGATGAATTAAATGAAATTTTGCACAATGCTCTATTTGAAGTGAAAGACTTGAAGGCTAAAATTATTTGTCTTCACGAAGAGTGTAAATCAAGGGAAGTGAGAGAACACAACCTTAGAGAGGTTATAGCAACGTTTACACATTCATCCAAAATAATGGACAAAATGGTAAATATGCAAAAACCCTCAAGTGATAAAGCCAGACTCGGCTATGATCCTTCTTATTCTCAAGCCTCTGAGAAATTGACTACCAATTCTACTACTGCTTTAAATAATAAGGTCCAAGTAGTAAAATTTGTAAAAGGTCAAGATAGCACAATGAGACAAGGAATTGGTTACCAAACTAATGCCAAATTTAATACTGGAAGGCCGAAGCCTCAAAGAAATAGTATTTCGCCAAAGCAGTTTGTACAAAGGCAAAAGTTTGTTCCTAAACATACCAATGAGTCAAGTGCACAAAGTCCTTATAGGAAAATGGGAAGAAATCCAAGAATTGGGGCAGAGAGATTTTATCCCTCTAAACAAGATTGGTTTGATGATATTAAACCATGGACTAAGTCCATGTTTAATGCCTATCATAGGCTCAAACAATCTTCTTTCCAAGTGTCAAAAAATCGAGTCAATTTTCAAAAACCGGCACCAAAAATATTTTTAAAAATTAGTCATGATTATAATGTGTTTAATGGTTACCAATCACCTAAACTTAGATCAGTGAGTTCAATGTGGATTTGGGTACCAAAAATGAATTTCCTTTTGTTTTTTTTTTTTTTAAAATTATTGAAATGAAAAACAACTAAATTACATATTTACTCCGACTTAACGGTGTCCTACACTAACGGGGAACCACATGTCCGTTACGGGAGGGGCTATATGTGCACCGTTTAATTTTGATAATTGAGGGACAACATTTACACCACTCATAATTCAAGGGTGACATTGATAATTGACATATTATAGAGGGACATTTTTTACAATTTTTCCTTATAATTTTGTATGTAGTTGAATGACTTAATTTACCCTTATTCCATTTTTTTTCTCCTTTACTTGGATCTCCTTAAATTTATTTTCTTCTCTTCCCCTTCCCAAAAACATGGGGAGTTGGGGTTACTCATCTAGAACTGGACCGCGTTTATACATTTCATTTCACTGGTCCTAATACTAGGATAAACGGAAATTCATGGAGGCCACGATTCCCCAGCTCTTTCGAGACTTGAGAGAAAATTTTGAAGTCAATTTCCCGTCGATCGAGTTTCTTTCCGTTCTAGTATAGATAATTGATCCTCCATTAGCATCGCACCAGTGACCAGTACAGCCAATGGCAAATCCATCGGCGTCGTGGGTGGATCTTCCGCTAGAGTTAACGGCAAACATTCTGCAAAGGCTGAGTGTGGAGGATATTTTCCAGAGCGCACTGGTGTGTACTGCCTGGTGGAGGCTATGGCAAGATCCCTCCATGTGGCGCTATGTGGACTTCTGGAATCTAGTAGCTCAGCGGGGTAAAGCACGGGACTGGGATAAAATTTGCAGAGAAATAGTGAATCGTAGTGAGGGGCAACTTATTTCCATCAAACTAGGCCACTTTGCTACTGATGATCTGCTCTTCTACATTGCTCAGAGGTATATATATGTTTCTTGTTTTCTTTTAATCCCTTGCTGTATGTGTTCCTTATTCATAGTACGTATGTACTTTTGTTGTTATACAGAGCAAAACAGCTGAGACATCTTGGTATTAGGTCCAGCCATGTTTCTGATGAAGGTTTTAGTAAAGCTGTTAATGAGTTTCCACTGTTGGAGGAGCTACACCTTGAATATTCTGCCATTTCTAAACAAGGAATTGAAGCTGCTGGACAGTCTTGCCCTTTCCTCAACTCATTTTCCTTCAGGGTACGTAGATTCCTAAACGGACCATCTGATGAGGAGGCTGTTGCCATTGCAGAAAACATGCATGGGTTGAGACACCTTACACTTGGTGGAAATGGATTGACAGAAAAAGGCGTAGAGGCCATCCTTGATGGTTGTCCTCGCCTTCAATCTCTCAACTTAGAGCAGTGTAATCATGTTTGGCTTGAAGGGGAGTTGAGGGAGAGATGCTCTCAACAGATTAAGGACCTAAACCAGCACGTTCGCAATCCTGGTGCTTATTTGCACAATCTGCTTTTCCGACTTTTTTATACGTAACCCCGGTGAATTTGATGAAATGCTCCCTGAATCCGTAGCTTGGGTAGACGGATTGTGAGCACTATATATACTTCCTTTTCCTGTCCTTCACTCTCAGGTGTCTACTTTTTGTGGACTCATCATGATCTTTCTTAATTTTACGTCTTACGACTTGGTTCATTATTTTACATCCTACGTACTCACATTTCACATTATATTCTTCATCTTCATCTTTGTGTTAACTGATGACAATATTAATATCAACATGCATGGCTTAACCTGAATTGGTATGTCAACACATACTTGTACATAAAGCCTTCAAAACAAGCTTAGCATGTCATCTGCAAATTATATCGTGCACCGCGGTGCATAATCGATTATGCACCGCGCGTCAAAATGAGGTTGTTTTATTTAATGAAAAGAAACGTCATATGTTTCGCTTGTTCCGCGCCATTCCGCAAAAAGTAACTCTGTTATTCGGTTTCATTTTGTATACATGTAGTTTTATTTTGATATAACTACAATTTCATTTCAGTATAACTACAATTTCATTCGATATTATAACACCCAAATATGTGAAAATGTTATTTAATTTTATTTTATATATACCATAATTTCATTAAAACACAACTACATGATCATTTCGATATAACTACAGCTTCATTACACAATATACACTAAAAAATGTGAAATGTTATTCAGTTTCATTTTATATACACTACAGTTTCATTTTATATACACCACAGTTTCATTTCAACACACCTACAGTTTCATTTTAATTCAATTGCAGTTTCAGTTGATAATATAAAAATAATACATGAGGCAGTGTCAGTTAAGAATAATGACTGCATGTCATCTCACCCTGCAAAAAAAGACGGGTCAAGCTTTGAATTTTAAGGCCTAGCTGTCAAAATGGTGGGCTTTTTAGGCCGTCTTATCAAATGGCGGGCTTTAGCCTTGTGGAGGCTTAGGTTGCCTAGTGTGTATATTACTAATATTAGTGTGTAAAATGTTAAATAATCCTTTATGCGCTATAACTTAAATGTGGAAGCACAATTAACAATGATCGCATGTAAATCAAATCAATCAACTAAACAATGTTTATGATCATAGACTTTTAATTAAATAGGAAAGATAGGACTTACTTGGTTCCATTGAAGATGTAATCTCTAAATTGAATGAATCAAGAATATAATGCTTCACCTCTCTGATCTGTATACCTTATTCACCTCCTGATGATACGGAGACTAGAAAACTTAGAGATTTGAAACCCACTAAGATCCCTAGAGTTTTCCTGGGTATTTATATATGTGATGAGAAACCATCTTTCAAGAGGAATGGGGAACCTCCTTTAGGAATAGAAATCCCTTTAGGAATGTGACCTCCTTTAGGAATAGAAATCCCTTTAGGATTGTGAAACCCATAACCTTATCCATTATACATCTTTTAACCCTTATAAACTTAAATTTTAACAGAATGAGAGGGAGGGAATTTCACCCAGTAATTCCGCCTTTACACATCACTAATCATCAACGTGAGTACCTTATGGAATTACAACCTTTATTATATAAATCATTTTTAGGAAATAATTATTTCTAACAGTCTCACTAGTACAAAAAATATCAATAAGATCGTATAAATCGCGTCCAAAGTTAGAACTTTGGACGCCGAATGTGTAGTGTGGTGGCAATTTTGTAATTAAATTGCCACTATATTATTATTATTATTTTTTTTTTAAATAATTCGCGTCCAAAGTTTCGAACTTTGGACGCGAATAATTAAATGAGGCCAAATTTCGCGTCCAAAGTTTGAAACTTTGGACGCGAGTAATTTAATGCGGATATAATTCGCGTCCAAAGTTGGCAACTTTGGACGCGAATTAGTTTTCTAATCCCCCAAATCGATCAGTTCATCTTTCTCCGCTCTAACCCTAACCTTCTCCATCAAATCAGATAGCTAGACCTTCGCCCCGTTCGCCGTTCGTTTGCCTTCCGCCGTTCATAGCTCGTCGCTGCTGCTCGCACCCCCACCACCGCCGGTCGTCGCTGCTGCTCGCACACCAACACTGCCGGTCGCCGCTGCTGCTCGCACGCCAACCACCGCCGGTCGCCGCTGCTACATCGCACGCCACCACCGCCGCTGCTACGAACGCCGGTCGCCGCTGCTACATCGGACGCCACCACCATCGCTGCTACGAACGCCGGCCGCCGTCTCCAAGGTGCGTTTGTTAATTTTTTTTTTTCGAAAATCATTAATTATTTTAATTTTTTTTGTTATTTGTTATTGTTGTTTATTGTGTATTATTGTATATTTGTTATTGTCGTTTATTGTGTATTATTTATTATTGTTGTTTATTGTTTTGGTTTGATGCCATCTCTAAAGTGGTTTTAAGATTGGATTAGGTTAATTGTGAATTATTAATTAAGTTATACAAATTAATTACAAATTTGTATATACAAATTTGTTGTGTATACAAATTTGAATTATTATTGTATATACAAATTTGTTGTGTATTATTGTATATGTTAGACATTGTTGACAAATTCGTTGTGTATTATTGTATATGTTAGGTATTGTTGATAAATTTGTTGTGTATTATTGTATATGTTAGGCATTGTTGACAAATTTGTTGTGTATTATTATATATGTTAGGCATTGTTGACAAATTTGTTGTGTATTATTGTAAAATATGATGTTTATATTTGGAAAAGTAAAATATGATATGAACTTGTAATTACTAAAGTAATTAGCTTATTTTGTTGGAATCATATTTGACCAACCATTACCTTATGAATTAGTAAATTTAAAATTATTTAGTTAAAGCTTTAATTTGAACCTTTAAGTTATAACTTAAGAAACTAACTCATTTATCATTTCTTAAATGTTGTGTGACAATATATAGGAGATATGGATCGGAGTTGGATGTATAAAAAACGCAATACACTTGAATATGTTCAAGGGGTTCAAGAGTTTGTTAAAATTGCCGAGGAATATGCAAGTAAAATTGGTGAAAATTATATAGTGTGTCCTTGTTATGATTGTAGAAATCTAAAAAAGTTTCGTAGTTCTGAACAAATTAAGGAACATTTGATACGTCGTGGTTTTAAGATAGGATATGACCGGTGGATATGGCATGGTGAAACTGTCCTTACTAGTAACAGTACAAATCAAAGAGAATGTAGAAAAAATGTAGAGAAAGATCAAAGTAATGAAGATAATGTTGGAAATGATGGAGACAATGATTGGCTAGATGAATTGATGCGGGATATGCAAGGGGATTTGAATGAAATGCCTCAAGAGTTTGAAAGTTTTTTTGAGAGTTCTGGAAAACCTTTGTTTTCTGGATGTAGTAAATTTAAAAAGTTATCAGCAGTGCTTAAATTGTATACCGTAAAAGCAAAACATAGGTGGAGTGATAAGAGTTTCACGGAGTTATTAGAGCTTTTAAAGGGCATGCTTCCAAATGAGAATGAACTTCCTTGTTCAACTTATGAGGCAAAGAAAATGTTATGTCCGTTGAGTATGGAGATTGAAAGGATCCATGCATGTCCAAACGACTGTATTTTGTATTGGAATCAAAACAAAGACTTGCATGTGTGTCCAAAGTGTGGAGCATCGCGTTATAAACGAAAAGGGCTTGATGATGCATGTGAGCAGAAGAAAGGTCCTCCAGCGAAGTTGTTGTGGTATCTACCGGTGATTCCAAGATTCAAACGTTTGTTTGCAAATGCAAAGGATGCGAAGAATTTGCAATGGCATGCTAGTGGGAGAAAAGAAGATAGAAAGTTGAGACATCCTGCCGATTCTCCTCAGTGGAAGAATATTAATAAGACGTTTCCTGATTTCGGTGCTGAAAATCGAAATCTTAGGCTTGGACTATGCACGGATGGAATGAATCCTCATGGTAACATGAGCAGTCTCCATAGCACTTGGCCAGTTCTTTTAACAGTTTACAATCTTCCTCCGTAGTTGTGTATGAAGCGCAAGTACATCATGTTATCATTGCTAATATCTGGTCCTAAACAACCAGGAAACGACATAGATGTGTACTTGGCACCGCTTATTGAAGATTTAAAGATGTTGTGGAATGAAGGTGTGACAGTATTTGATGCTCATAGTCAAACCAACTTCACTTTACGAGCCATGCTGTTCTGCACAATCAATGACTTCCCAGCATATGGTAACTTGTCAGGGTATACTACTAAAGGGGCTAAGGCATGCCCTGTTTGTGAAGATGAAACAGTTGATCTTTGGTTGAACAACAGTAGGAAAAATGTGTTCATGAGTCATCGAACCTTTTTACCTATTGACCATCCTTATCGAAAGAGGAAAAAACCTTTCAATGGAAAATCTGAGACTGGAGTTGCTCGCTTACCATTATCAGGGGATGTTGTTTACGATCGAGTGAAAAACATTGATAATGTGTGGGGAAAAACTTCAAAAACAAGTCAAAAGGGTATTTGGAAAAAGAGGTCTATATTATGGGATTTACCATATTGGGAGCATTTATCTGTTCGACATTGTCTTGATGTAATGCATCTGGAGAAAAATATTTGTGATAGCATTATCGGGACATTGTTGAATATTCAAGGTAAGACGAAAGATGGTATTAAAGCTAGAAAAGATATGGTAGAATTGGGGATAAGGACTCAATTAGCAGCACAAGAATCTGGAAAGAGGGCATACTTACCTCCAGCTTGTTATACTCTGTCTAAAAAGGAAAAAAACAAGTTTTTGTAGCTGTCTAAATGGGGTCAAGGTTCCTTCTGGCTATTCATCTAACATTAAAAAGCTTGTTTAAATGAAGGACCTTAAATTGGTTGGTATGAAATCACATGATTGCCATGTGCTAATGCAACATATGTTACCTATTGCTATTAGAGGCATATTACCTAACCATGTTAGACAAGCAATTACAAAGCTTTGCTACTTTTTCAATGCCATTAGTAGTAAAGTTGTTGATCCTGAGGTGTTGGATTCTTTGCAAGCTGATGTGGTAGTAACTTTATGCCAGTTTGAAATGTATTTCCCTCCATCATTTTTTGATGTTATGGTGCATTTAACAGTTCACTTGGTGTGGGAAATTAAAATGTGTGGTCCTGTATTCTTGAAGTATATGTATCCATTTGAGAGATACATGGGAATTTTGAAAGGATATGTGAGAAATCGATATCGGCCAGAGGGGAGTATAATTGAAGCTTATGGCGCTGAAGAAGTGATTGATTTCTGTACTGATTATTTGGCTAATGTTCAGTCCATTGGTGTTTCTAAATCACGTCATGAGGGAAGACTCACAGGAAAAGGTACCATTGGGTTTAAAACACATGTCCCAAGTCAAATAATCCGAAATCAAGCACATCATCTCGTACTGCAGCAGCTTTCTGAGGTTCATCCATATTTGGAACAACACTTGTCTATTATAAGGCAACAAAATCCTTCTAAAGGTGAAATGTGGGTGACAAAAGAACACAATTCTACATTTATCACATGGTTCAAAGATACAGTGATGCAAGAGTTATCTCAAGTGCCAAATAATATCACTGAAACCATTAGATGGTTATCGTATGGCCCTAGATTTGTTGTGAGCACTTATGAGGGATATGATATTAATGGGTATACGTTTTACACAAAATGTCAAGATCAAAAAAGTATAGTGCAAAATAGTGGAGTGACATTAGTAGCACAATCAAGAGAGTATTCTAGTGCTAAAGATTCTAACCCGGTAGATGCTACTATGTCATACTATGGAGTCATTGATGAAATCTGGGAACTTGATTATAAGGTGTTTAGGATTCCTCTATTCCGATGTTCTTGGGTTGATAACAGGCGGGGTGTCCGTGTAGATGATTTGGGTTTTACCTTAGTTGATTTTGGTCGGCTTGGATATCATGATGAACCGTTTATACTTGCATCTCAAGCTAAACAAGTCTTCTATGTTTCTGATCCTATTGATAGTAAGTGGTCAATTGTCTTACAAGGCAAAAGAAGTATTGTTGGTGTTGGTGATGTTGTTGATGAAGAGGAATATGACCAATTTGATGAAACCCCGCCATTTTCTATTGGTATTCAACATGTGACCTTATGTGAAGATAACATTGATACTAATTACATGCGTACTGATCATGAAGAAGGGTTGTGGATTGACCATCCGACAGTATAATTTCTATAATGTAATCTTATTATTATTTTTTAACATGGTTATATTTTATAAGATGTTCTTTATAACATATTTATCTTATGCATGTGCAGGTATATATCACTACTACAAAAATACCTTTTAACGTCGGTTATTTTAGGCATATGACGTCGGTTATTTGCCGACGTAGACCCAGGGGACGTTGTAAATAAATTATACGACGTCGGTTTAAAAAACCGACGTCGTATATTATTTTTTAATTTTTTAAATAATACATACGACGTCGGTTTTTCCAAAAACCCGACGTTGTATGTTGTTTTTTTTAAAAAAATAGAGATACGACGTCGGTTTTTTCAAAAAACCGACGTCGTATCTCATTCTTATAAAAATATATATATATATATATATATATATATAGATACGACGTCGATTTTTTATACAAATCGACGTCGTATCAATTTTTAATTTAAAAAAAAAAACAGTAAAGAGAAGCCGACAATCAATTTTTACAAGCAAAGAAGAGATAATTTGAAAAGCAAAGGAGTACTAAAACATAAAACAGAAAGAAAAAAATAGATCCAAGCATATAAAATACAAAAAAAATATAGATCCAAGCATAAAACAAAAAAAAAAAAAATTATAGATACAAGCATAAAACAAAAAATCTAAAGCAAGCAGGAGAGAGATAATTTGAGAGGCATCTCATCCATACTCTCTCTAACTCATCTTCATCCACTCTCATAAGCATACAACCAAAAATCAAAAGCAGGAATCGAAAAAAAAAAAAAAAACAAAAACAAAAATACATGTATACGTACGGAGCAATATTTGTAGATGGAAGATTCGAAGCAAGCAACCTCCATGCTGGACCTGCTACGCTCGTCGCCTTACAATCGAGGTCGCCGGAGAAAGCTCGTCGCCATACAGTCGTGGTCACCGGAGATAGCTCGTCGACACTCCAAGCTGGAAGTTCGCTCGTCACCGGAGAACGTAGATCTACATCGAATCGTTGTTGTCCAAGTCGCAAGTTGTTGCTGCTGCTGGACGCTGGTACACCGTGACGAAGATGATAACTTCTTTTTCTTTTCTATTTTATGCTTCTGAGAAATGGATGAAGGAGAGCGAGAAAGAGAGTGTGCGAGAAAGATGGTGTACTGTAGGAGCGGACATGTCCAGATCTAGATCTGCGTTAAATAAGAAAAACCTTTTTTGTTTAATTTTATTTAAAAAATACGACGTCGGTTCTCCCGAGAACCGACGTCGTATGTCTTTAATTTATTTAAAAAAAAAATATTTCAAACCTACGACGTCGTATGTCTTTTATTTTTGTTTAAATAAATTATTTATAATCTACGACGTCGGTCTTTTTGCATAACCGACGTCGTATGTCTTAATATTTTAAAAAAAATATTTACGACCTCGGTTTTTTCGGAGAACCGACGTCGTAACTAATATAAATTACTTTTACTTTATTTTATTGACATATAACGTCGGTCTTTCAAAAACCGACGTTAATTAGGAGACGCAATATCCTTTTTCTGTAGTAGTGTATATACATGGCTGACGATCACACAGATCCGGTGGTGGAGGAATTTTCAAAGGGAACAAAGAGCAAAGTGCGTAAAGCAAGAGGAGCTACAACTTGCAGTAAAATGACAAAGAAGAGACCAGAGGATGAGTCTAAGGTAATTGAGTTTGATGAGAAGAATAGGCCTCTTGGGCCAAATGCAAGGAAGTACTCAAATTACCTTGGCCTTATGGTTCGTATTCACATAGACATAAACATTCCACACTGGCGTCTTGTTCCAACTGCGGTTAAAGATGCAGTCTGGGATGAACTTAAGGTAATAGTCAATAATTTAATTTATCCATTGATCATTATTTCATTTTAGTTTTGAGTTCATTAGTTTATATATGTTAATGTCAATAAAGGCCTAATTATTTGTTATTTTATTGTTGTTTTTCAGAAAGAGTTTAATATCCCTTAGTCAAGAAGAAGTCATATTTTGGTCCATGCACGGCTACGTTGGAAAGATTTCAAAACAAGATTGGTCCGTGACTTCATCAACAAACCGAACGAAAAATATAGCTCTCCCTGTGAGTTATATAAGTTCATGGATGAAAAAAATGGGAGCAATTTGTAACCACGCATGAAACTGAAGATGCCAAGGTACAGTACATAATTTACTTCCTTAATAATCATGTAACATGGTTATTATTAACATATTATTAAATAATAACTTTTGTGTAAGCAGGCCAACAGTCAAAAGTATAGGGAGTTGCAAGCGCGAAATGTGCATCCTCACTATTTAGGGTCTACGGGCTATGTTGGAAAGCAGTCTGAGTGGTTGATATGCAACCCATTATCTTCACAATCTTCTTGTGCGGCTATTACCTCTCGAACATATCATCTACTGATCGTAGTTTGGATTGGGTTCGAGCGCTATCTAAAAAATCTGAAGATGGAAGTTATTACATTCCCAATGAAAAAACGAAGGGAGTGTTGGATAAAATTGTAAGTAATACAAATACTTTAAATATATATATTATTGACGAGATTACTAGCTAACATGTAAATTTTAAATCTTTTTTTTGTGTTGAAATATAGGTTGAGAAGTGTGAAGAGATAAGGCAAAATGATGTATTGACAACAGTTCTTGGCACCAATGAGTACGGTGGCTATGTGAGAGGTGTTGGAGTATACTCCAATATTCAGGATGTGTAGGTAAACCGGAGAGCATAAGTCGTGGAAATTCAGCTGGGCTTGTTTCAGTTAGTGATATGGAGAAGATCATAGAGAAGAGAATATATGACAAAGTGGCTGAAAAGATTAGAAAAGAAACAATGGAAGGTATGCAGCCCAAGTTTGATTTGATGCAATCCCAACTGGAATATTTGATGAAGAATGTACAAAAGTTGGCACACCAACTCGGAGCAGTTGTCATTCTATTGATCAAGTCAACAAACTTAAGGTAATATTGAATATCTTTAATATTTTGAATATTTGATATTCGATCTACTTGTTATTATGTCTTTTACTTTTGATTGATAGGAAAATCCAAAACAAACCCGAATGATGAATTTTGAAAGTGGTGATCAATCTGCTGTCCAAGTACGACCACTTCTTGTTGATGATGATACACTGCAGCAATTGGGAGATGAATCTAAGAAATTTTCAGACTTATTAAGAACCTGCCTTTCGATTTAGATTACATTAAGTGGATCTAGATGAGGCAATCTTCCATCATCAAGATGTGGATTTCATTCACGTGTTGTTTCAAGATATTAAAGACTTGTTGACGATGCGATGGCTTGATGTGACCATATTACAAATATTTATAATGTAAGTATTTTTTATAATGTTTTTATATTTAAAAACTTGTCTTTAGTCGTTCATTTTTATTAATTATCTATATATATGTTGTAGATGTCTTAGTCGGATGTGCTCCAAAATTGGAGTTCATACAATTGGATTCCTCTGCCCAAGGACTATTTGTGCTGACTCTGTACTTGCGGATATTGATAAGGTCACAAAATATCTTGTGAATGCCATGGTTGAACAGACGAATCGACACTTCATTTTAGCTCCATACCATGAAAAGTAAGAAAACTATATTTATATTTTTAATTATTTATTTAACTTAATTGCATTATTTGTGAATAACACTTAACATATTCATTTAAATGCCTTAGAAATCATTGGATGCTTCTTGTTATTTCTGTTCCATTAAGAAAAGTCTATGTATTAGACTCCATTGCATCAAGTGATCGCGAGTTTGAGATTAAGGCCACATTGAATGTGTAAGTACACACACACACACACACACACACACACACACACACACACACACATATATATATATATATATATATATATTATATTATATTTTGAGAATTATTAACCATTATTGTTTATAAATTATTTATGATTGTATATTATAGGGCATTTCGATCGGTTGAAACTTTAGGAGGGAGAAGACCTAAAAACAACGTTGATTGGGTTCACATTGAGGTATATATATCTTTCATATTTCATATTAATATTTTTATTGTTTAACATATTAATATATATACATATTTTCTAGTGTCCTCAACAACCGGGTGGTGTGGAGTGCGGGTATTATGTGATGAGATTCATGTATGAAATATGCACTCAATGTTGGGATTCTGATGATTTAGATATGGTATGTAAAATTTATTAAAAGTAAATAGTTTTAAATTACACTTTAGTAATGTTAAAACTAATTATTTGATTATTTTAAATTTTTGTAGGAATTATTCTTTAATAGAAAGCCTTATTCAGAAGCGCAAATTGATGAGGTTCGTGAGATTTGGTCTAAATATTTTACTCAAAAATGTATATAAATTTTTGAAGTGTGATTTAATTATATTAGTTAGTTGTAATGATGTATTGTTGGTACTTATCTAGCTTATTACATATGTGTTGAAGTAGTGTACTTATCTAGCTTATTACATATGTGTTGAAGTAGTGTAGTTTAATTATTTAGTGTTAAAGTGTTGGCGTATTGATGATGTATTGAACTTAGTTGAAGTAGTGTACTTATCTAGCTTATTACACATGTGTTGAAGTAGTGTAGTTTAATTATTTAGTGTTAAAGTGTTAGCGTATTGATGATGTATTGAACTTTAGTTGAAAGCTTTGAAGTGGTAGTGGTTGTGACTGCATGTACAGGATGAAAAATATAATTTTTTGTACAGGAAAAAAACTGGATTTATTAATAAATTAAAATAAAATTAAAAAAAAAAACAATAATTCGCGTCCAAAGTTCTTCAACTTTTGACGCGAATTATCATTTTATTAAAACAAAATGATAAATCGCGTCCAAAGTCGAAGAACTTTGGATGCGATTTACTGACCAACTTTGGACGCGCAAAGTCAGTAGTCAACAGTTAGATCGGATAAATCGCGTCCAAAGTTCTTCAACTTTGGACGTGATTTATCATTTTTCGCGTCCAAAGTAGCTTTGGACGCGAATTGTATATACAATTCGCGTCCCCGACATCTGCGTCCCAGCTACTTTGGACGCGAATGAGGCTTTACTTTGGACGCGAATGACTGTTTTTGTACTAGTGTCTCCCACTGATTCATATGAGCATGACACCTTAATTATATGAATCAACGTTAGGAATAAATTATTTCTAACAATCTCCCACTTGATTCATATATGCGTGACTTTATAATTTTCAATCCTTAATTTGAGCTCACTTAATATGAAAATGTAAAAGTCACCACCTTATCGAACTTTATTAACCGAATCATGGCGGTTACAGGCCTGACATAGCGTCCCGCTCCCTTCCATGTATCACAGTTAATAAGAATTCGAACCATAATAATAAGGTAAAATCCGAAAGTACCTTATTCCTTATGTCTTAAACAAGACCATTGTTATCACTTCTTAATTATGCATAAATAAGTGATCAACATCTACCATTACAAAATCAAAACCTGAATAGATATCTAAGAGTATCATCAACCTGATGTGCTATCAAACATAAATCCATACATGTATGGCCGAGTTAACCGTTATTCAAGGACTTTACCAGTATGCCCATCCTCCCAACATGGCCAATGAAGGTCATGGGCGCCAATCCCTTAGTCAACGGATCCGTGATCATAAAATCGGTGCCAATATGCACTATTGATGCTCTTTTAATTTAATTTTGTACCTTCCCCTTAACAGACAGAAATTTCAAATCCATGTGCTTGGCACCACTAGTGTATCTGTCGTTCTTTGAGAAGAACATAGCTGCCGTATTATCACAATGAATCCTCAATGGTTTGGCTATAGTGTCGACAATGCCCAAACCATAAATGAAATTACGCAGCCATGATGATTGAATTGTAGCCTCAAAGCATGCTACAAATTTTGCCTTTATAGTGGAAGTAGCAATGACAGGCTCCTTCACACTCATCCAAGATATTGCTCCATGAGCAAGTGGAAAAATATATTCGAATGTGGATTTTCGGGTATCCAAACATCCGGCATAGTCTGAATCCGAATAACCTATAACCTCCAGGTTATTCGTTCCTTTTATAGGTGAGCATGTGGTCCTTAGTGCCTTGTAAGTATCACAGGACCCTCTTTTGCAGTTTTCCAGTTTATACCTTTCTAAAACTTTGTTAATGTGAGTCTTCTAGGATAAACCTAAAATCCCATGTGATCTATCACAGAATATTTCTTATTCCAATCACATATGAAGTCTCACCCATATCCTTCATTTCAAAGTTCTTAGAAAGATATTCCTTAACATCACGCAACATCCCTTTTATTATTAGCAGCAAGAAGAATGTCGTCAACCTGTAATACTAGGATTATACAAACTTGCTTCGATTAAACCTTTATGTGGATACACCGATCAACAGTGATCTCTACAAAACCAAATGACAATTTCAAGTACCATTGTCTAGAAGCATGTTTTAATCCATAGATCGACATCTTCAATCTACATACCAGATTTTCCTTTCCTATGGCCATGAAGCCTTGCGGCTAATCCATGTATACTTCCTCTTTTAATTTACCATTTAGAAAGGCAATTTTAACAACCATTTGGTGGAGCTCAAGAACAGAATGAGCCACCAAAATCAAAATAATTCTCAAAGAGAATTATTATCCTGTATGGCTTGGTTAAATGAGACTGGATAATTATCAATGCTCAAGTCACTTTCATGCTCAAGTGCATAAACAATATAGTAATCAGGAATGACTGATCTTTTCTATCTAGTAGATCTCCTTAATGCCACTTCCTGCTGAGATTTCACTTGATCATCATCTTGAGTTTCAACCTCATCTTCATTTACAATAGCTTCCTCATGTGGAATTTGAGCATCTAGTTGTTGTTGTTCCAGAGTATTTCCATAAGGCTACACTGCACTTCAGCAATAGGAACAACAACAGGAAAAAGGATCACTTGATGAATCTGGAACCATCAATGACTCCTTAATCTCAACATTACGAGCTCCCACACTCCCATTGACTTTGCCATTTTAAATTAAGCGAGCATCACCAGACTCAACAATCCTCGTACTTATGATTAGGACAATAAATATGTACCATTTAGACCTTTCTGGATATCCAATGAAATAACCACTAATGGTTCTGGATTCCAATTTATTTTCATGTGGATTATATATCATCACTCTAGCTTGACAGCCCTAAATGTGACGATGCCTCAAACTAGGTTTCCTTCTTGTCCACAGTTCATAAGGTGTTTTTTTTAAAAAAAAAAAACAACCTTACTAGGAACCCTATTGAGTAAGTATGCTGTTGTCTTTAATGCATATATCCACAATGAAACAAGCAATGTATAGTTATTGACCTTACTCCTAACCATATCCCTTAGAGTATGATTTCACCTTTCTTTCACACCATTTTGATGTGGTGTGCCTAGCATTGTGTATTATGCACAAAATGCCCTTAGATTCGAGGAATTTCTTTAAATGGGTCAGGAATTTGCCCAATTTTTGATGTTTTCCCATAATACTCATCACCTTTATATGATCTAATTGTCTTTACCTTTCTATTTAGCTGACTCTCAACTTCAAATATGAATGTCTCTAGGACATCCACAGACTGAGATCTTTCACGCAGTAAATAGATGTAATAGTACCCAGAGTGATCATCAATAAAGGTAATAAAGTATTTATCACCGCCCTAAGACGGAACATCCTAAAAAGATCGCAGATATATGTATGTATTAAATCAAGTAATCATGAGCTTCTTGTGGCTGAGTGTACTGATACATGTCTGACTTGCTTTACCTTTATGCAATCAACACATGCACCATTCCAGTCAGTAAAATCCAATTGAGACAAAATTCCAACTTTAATAAGTCTCAATATCCTTTCTTGGATATCTGACTAAGCCTTTTATGCCACAAGTCAACGGAAGATTCTTTTGGCGCACTCCTTTTAACACAAACATCACATTAAACAAGGAATTAACAAAGACATCATTAAGATTGAAACAGTATAGTGTATCCCACAAAACACCAGAACCATAAAGGGTTTTGTTGATACGAACATTTGTCTCCAATCTTAAAATAAAAACCCAATGTTTCCAACCTAGCTGTTGAAACAAGATTTCTAGAACAATTTGGAACATACAGACAATTCTCAAGATCAAGGCAAAAACCTGTATCCAGCTTAATTCTGTAAGTTCCAATACCCTTAATTCTAGCTTTCATCATGTTTCCCATGAAAAGACACTTTTCATTTTCCCTATGAGGTTGAAACATAAAAAATCTTGCTTAATGTTATAAACATGTGTTGTAGCACCAGTGTCTAACCACCAAGTATTAGAAGGAACCTTAACAAGATTGGATTCAAAGCATACTCATACTGAAAATGAATGTATACTTTTATTTCCATCCAAACTTTCCTCTTCAGGCGTTCAGCCTTTTTGTGCCCAGGTTTGTTACAGAATAGCATTTCTACACTTTCTGAACATCACCTTGCACCTTCATAGGATACTTTCCCTTCTTTACTACTTTTAGATTTGCTGCTATTATCACTGACATTAAAACTGTCACCTTATAGCGTGATACGATAGTGTTCACTGCGAACATTTATCTCACAAATCAATTGCTTTGAGTAACAAACCTTTATTCAGACTATAATTTATAGACCTTAAGTTTGTATTTAAATCCGCCTTTGGGTCAAATTTAAATACAATGTCAATTTACCTACATGCATCATTCACACATACTTGAATGAGACTATTCATCAAGTTTCAATTTAATATATAGGCCATCTTTGGACATGCACTACATATCAACAAAACAAGAATCATAATCTCCTAAATTGTCATTAATCACGTCTGATCTACCTTTGGGCAACCGCTAGAACTATATGTTAATGATCACAAATGTTTATCAACCCTTTAGTGTCATTCAATGATGCAAAATACTGGTGTACGATAAACATTTGTAAACATAAATAATTATTTAGCTATTTCCTTGAGTTGGCCACTTTGGTGACTAACGCACTCGCCTTATGCTAATAATTTATTTATGTGAATAAACATTAATTTATGTTGTAACATAAACATAAATGATTATTTAGCTATTACCATGAGTGAGCCGCTTTGGCGACTAACACACTCGCCTTATGCTAATAACTCATTTATGTAAGTAACTTTAATTTATGTTGTAACATAAACATAAATGTTTATTTAGCTATTACCATGAGTGGGCCGCTTTGGCGACTAACACACTCGCCTTATGCTAATAAATCATTTATAAACATATATAAAAAATTAATAGTGGATATAACCACCAACCATAATTGATCCCAAATGGACCTATAATTTAAAGCAAGTCGCCTTAATGCCTTAAATAAACCAAAA